ACGAACAACAAACAAGGTGCTAACAAAAAATTTTGTGACGTGACCTCAGCAATTAAAACGGGGAAATGTGCGAATTCACGCGACGGCCAGAAGGCGAGATGACTTGCTTATTAAAACTCAGATCGAAAACAACATAAAAACAAAGCATGGAACAATAACAGGTGAAAAATACGAGCACATAGATTTAGCAGATTTAGCCCTGCATTCCCGGTAACCCAGGCATTTGTCCTCCTGATGGAGTTCGCACGTTCTTCACAGTTTGATCTATCGACAATACAAGACATACAGCCTCCGTGGCCGCGATGATGGCATTCTGTAGCAAGTAAAATTGGTCGTGTTGGCAAATTGGAACTAATAATTACCTATCACAAAAGGAAACTCATTAGAAGAGAGCCACTTTCAAGAAAAGAACTGACATCGTACAAAAAATCAGTCCGCAATGATGATAAACAAACCTTTTTGACTATGCTCGGCTCCCAAATACAAGCCGCAAGATTGTCACCGACTTCTTCTTTATGGATATCAACTCCGGCCCAAACTTCTCCTTAAAGTATTGCTTGAGCATGAACTAATACATCTATGGGTTCTTATACGAAGTGTAATACCTAGCGAATGTCTGTGTCGCAGCTTGTTCAGAATATCGATGGCATCAATTCCGGCATTGTAGCAGAGCTGTTGCGGAATGATCTGGAGAAAAACCAATAAGAAAACTTTCAAAACTCTCAAAATGATGCTCCTCGAGACTGACTTCGAAACTGCGGGCGTAAGCACTCCAGAAGAACTGTTCCTTTCCAGGGATTGTCTTCGCTTTAGCACGTAAGTGACGCGATAGCTCCATTTCAATAGCTCCACCACCTGAACAGAGTAGTAACAATAACATAATCAGAGAACAAAATGCGGACCAACATGAAGTGTCCAGCAATAAGCGGTTCCAAAGGTCCATTCAATAATTCTTCGTTTAAAAAAATGGTATTAAAACCTAATTCAGAAGAATGAAAAAGACAGGAAAATGGGGTTCTAATGCGAGTACTGTTACCGTCTCACCTGCTACAACAGAATCGTTTTTCTTGGCACGGCGAACAATCATAATGGCATCATGTAGGGATCGTTCCGTTTCGGCAATAAACTGTTCAGCACCACCACGAAGAAGCAAAGTGCATGCACGAGCCTTTGAACAACCTTCAAAGAAGTTGTACCTGAAGCACAAAAATCAAAATGAAATGCGCTCTGGTTTGTGAGTATAACCTAAACGCGCTGCAAAAAAGATTGTTGGGAAGACCCACCGTTCGCTCCCTACTTGTTGCTCATAGAACGTGGTACATTTTCCGAGTACCGATTGGTCGATTTGAGACACTGTAGTCAATATTGATCCGCCACACGCAGCCATAACACGGTCCAAGTCTTCCTGAGGTATGCGCCCCGCACAAAACATATCCCTGAAATTCGCAAAGCAAATTAAGGACGAATAATTCATTTATTTATATAACTATAAATCTAAAATTTCAAATCTACGAGTGATCCAGTGCGTACCTGTCTGCAAACCACTGCGTCGCTACATCTCCAATCGGGAGTTTTGATAGCACTATCTTTGCACCACTTTCGTGGATTTTCTGCAGCTTTGAATACAAAATGTTCCATTCTGCATCAACAACCTGAAAGTAGTCTCGTTTGAAGCAGTCAATTTGAAACGTCGATCGAAACTCTCGCTAATAAATTACCGCCTGGAAGTCCTCGACCGTTGTGAGACGCATTTCGGCGTTGTCCTTTTCAGCTTTCAACTCCAATTCGATATTAAGTAAAGCAATAAGTGGATCCTTGTAATGTTTTGGCTGCATCTCGAATCCAGCATAGCTGAAAGCCTTTTGAAAAGCGACACCCTTGACCAGGCGTGACTCCTAAATGGAAACAATCACGCATTAGAGAAAAATCCATTAGGGGCTGGCCTGCAAGAGAACTCACACTCAAATTTCCTCCATTAACTTTCTTGATTCCAATCATGTTGAGCGGTAGGGACTCGTCAAGAATGTTCACAGCGTCAACAACCATCTCAGCAAAAAACTCACGCTCTTGGCTTACCTGTGATAAGTCCAAACTGAGAAAATCTTAATAGCATTGAATTTCTAGCAGATTGAGCTGTGTTACAAAAACGGTCGAGCCCCTCGGTTTCTTGCTCTCATTTCAGAGAGACTGGAGGAAGCATTTCCCGATAATATTGATTTTGCCTTTTGATTATCTACACGCCAATCTGATCGGCATCTACGATGTTACTGTAATGGTACTAGACATCTACTAATTCAATCAATTCAGCAACGATGATTAAAGGAAACCCCAAAAATCACATAGTGGAATTGACTGAAACACTCCCAAGCTTAANTAAGCCAAACCTAAGTGTATCGACTTTCTTGACAAAATAGCTCGCCTGAACAGCGTTAGAACTATGCTTCTCAAATAGCTTCCCATAAATTCGCACCATAGATCTGCCCAGTATTTGTGAGAAAAGGCGTTTGACAAAGACGCAAAGGGAGTTTCCGACAGGGAAAAAGATAAAACACATGCCAAGACAAATCACAACCATCAAAAATCTTCGTGCAATGTAAAGAATGGATATAGAAAAACGGCCTAACTTACAAGTTTGCTACTGAGTGTAGTCATTGCACACTTGACCAACATTTCCCTTAATTCCTTTTCACCTTCAATTTTTATGGCTAACTGCTCAAGGTGATTCAAAGCCTAAAAAAAATCATTGGAACAGTGACAAAAAAAAAGCAAAACAACGAGAATAATACCGACCTCTTCACTTGCTTTGGTTATTGCACGAATAAGTAATTGCGGATGAACTCCATCCTCGATAAAAGGCTTCATTCGTTTGAGAATTTCTGCAGCTAGCACCACAACTGAAACGTACACTTCTTTCTCACCAATTACTACAGCAACAACTACAAAGGACATGAACTAGCCTGATGTAGTGCCATCGCCTACTTCAGCATCTTGAGACTTAGCAATGTCTACCATTACATTTGCAGCAGGAAAAACAATATCCAGCAATTTCAATATTGTTGCACCATCATTGGAGATCGTAGTTTGACCTAAAGTCGAGCTGCAGCTTCCAAATTAATGAATACAAAACATACTTAACAACTACACTCATCACCCAGGCCAACCCTTTACCCCGGAAAGACATTCGTTTCTTCAGTAAGGTATAGAAAAAGTGGCTAAATTAAGATTGTCTCGGGAGCAAAACAGACTATTTTCTAAACGGAGACCATGGCCTTGGCACAGTTTACTCCAATACCTGCATTTTCAGACCCTAGTTCCAGTAACTATCCATGTTTCAAGCGCCCACAAAGGCAAAAGGAAAAAACAGCGAAAGAAATTTTGTTCGAAGAAAGTGATTTGAATTTTAAACTTATTTACCATCTTGGCAGCAGGTTTTACAAAAGATTATGAACTTGATTTGAATTTTTTTTGAAGAAGCACGAACCTTTGCTGTCTACAATCAACTTGTCCAATCCTCTAGGGCCCAGTGTGGTACGAATACTGTCGGCTACGACCTAAAAGGTTTGGCTTGTAATAATGCATTAATAAGGTTCTCTCGTCGGCGCAGCGGACCTACTAAGCAGATAACAAAGGCAGCTATTTGAATTTTCCCGGGAATCTTCTAAGGTTTGAACAACACATTAAAAGCTTTCTATTGTTTAACATTCCATTTGAGGTACAGCATCAATGACAAAGCTATCTTCATTTTCATTACAGTATTCAAGATCAATTTGGTCGGTTAAGAATGGGAATTTGTCGGTAAGAAATGAGTTTAGAAAGAAAGTGTGGGGTCAAGAAACTGTTAAGTCCAGGTAAAAGCGGCACAAACCACTGGATTAAGTCCAATTCCAAAATTGCGTAGATCGCTGCTTACTTGGACCTACGGATGCTATCTAGACTATCACGAACTATATTTTGATGCTTTTACAGCTCCAATTTTGTTTGCACCTGCGTGGCAACATAACAAATATATTTGAACAGCTTGAGTTCGTCGAATTTCTTTAGTGTGCAGCCTCCTCTTTTGGATAAGCCTCATTACAATGCATGGGAAGACATACCTGACAAGCATTGATGTTGGAAATGATTTGTTGCTTCCCTTGCTTATTTTCAGTGCCTTCTTTAAGAAGAATAATCGGTGGTCGCATCATCTTTGCAAGTCTATTGTCGACAGTTACCCTGTTAGTATAATATCATGATTATCGAACGAGTGAGCAGTCCATGTGTAACGCGAATAATGCTCAAAATAAACTACAGCTACTTTCTTAGTGAAAGAATAACGAATAAGCGTGCAAGAATTAGCGTAATGTTCTTCTGGAATTCACAGTGTACTTGGCGACCTTTAATGATGATTGGAGCGCGAAAACTCGTCCCGATTCAGCCGCAGTGTTGTGCCGTGGAAGACTAGGCTTCCAGTCGATTCGATGTGAAGGTTCATGAGTACAAGTAGCGGAGCTGAGTACCATTATTGAGTTATATAAAGTTTACGAGTTTAGATTGTATGGCTCCATCGAAAGCCCCTGATCTAATTCTTCTGGGACTGCTTAGCCAGTACGAAAATGGAGCTCAAAATTAAGTTGTAAGGTCAATACCACTATACGACAAACCTGCTGTATCGTAATAGATTATTATTTGGCTATGCAGTACTGTTTATGGTCTGCAGGCTATTTCTTCAATAGTAGCGTCATTCGCTACTAATCCACCCTCTCCCTACTGCCACAAAGACTTTTATTGCGAGAAGCAAACTTAAGGCTTTAATCTACTTCTTAAGGCTTCGCCTACCTTAAAATCTCTTTAATCACTGGCCTCGAAGATTCCGTCTTTTGGAAACACGACGGCAGGTGACAAGTTGGGTAAGGCTTAGCAGACCCAAAGTTGCTGCCACCAAATAAGTTAATTACCCTATTACGAACACATGTCAGAGTGTGGTTTCGCGGCGATTTGAAACAATTATTACATTGATTCCTTCCCAAAGCCAGTTTTGTGACAGCCATCAAAGTTTGGATCGAATCGCTCATTTCATGTGGCCGATGTCAAAGTGTAATAACCCTTCACACATCTGTCACAGCACGATCGAAACTTGGCTCCATCCAGTCGTCCTTACTTCATAGATTCTGTATAAAATTACGATTCCGCTCACTATGGATCAGATCCACAGTGTACGGTAACTATTGGGACTTTTCGATACATCTACCTTTTCTGCATATATTGCGTAGGACCACAGTGCTAAATTAAAATGGAACATTTTCTTTGCTCTTCCACAGGAAAACGTCCCGCGGCAGAAAAAATGATGAGAAAAATCTTGTGCTCACCTAGCAATTCCACGTTCTTTCGGATATTATGTCCGTTTGGAGACTGCCATCTTTGTGAGATTGGGTATTCCTGTTATTCTGAGTTAGGTAGTACGTCGTTGGCATGCAACTTTTGCCATGATGTCTCATACCTCAGTTCCATTTCAATTCCAGCGGAGAGTCAGAAAGATCAGCTTTTATCGGGTGGTTGGTCTTTCACGTGCACGTGTTCACGTATAGGGAAATCCGAAAATCCGGGGGATGACTTGATAATTACTGATAACTTATTCATTTACTTCTCGCCTTCTCATTCTTACTATTATTAGAGTTTCTCGGATCCTTCCACTACTGAAAACTTAGTCCTCAGGCGTATTTATTATCATGCAGTATCACCGTTATCACCGTTTGTCGTCCATTCCATGTGTTCTGTCACTTGCGGAGAAAATGTTTGTATATAGGAATTGGGAGTGCATAAAAACTAATACAAGCTGGTAAGAAGTATCAATCAGCAACTATCGCTGTATCTGTTCCACTTCAAAAAGAAATCGCTCAGAATTGTTGTGTAGAGTGTTACTCGAAGACATTGGATGATAAAGGGTGATAAATGGTAATAAATATGGTGGGGAATGTCCATGTAGACTAAAATTTCACATTTGCACAATAACGTCCATGGTATGCTATGCACAGTGACGTGCATTTGACCAAACTGGCTCTACACTGATTCATTCTGTAGGAATTTTTGCTTTTCCCTACGCCGAATATTAGAAAAGGAGCAGTTCCATAATCAAAGGCTACTAGTCTCCCTAGGATTTCTTGATCTTGACTCGCTATTTAGAGTTTCTCAAGGGCTCCTAGAAGAGACATCTACATATCGGTCAATTTTTTCTGCTTACAACCTAATCATCTTCGATCAGCTCTGATTTTCACTGATGCTCCTCCCTCATCCTTTCTCTCACAGTATGGAACACTCCCCCATGGTAGACGACTTCGTACGATACCGCAACACATCTGGGATGGAAAGAGTTTCGCTTTGAGGTTTCCAGCTTGAAGTCGTCGAGGATAAGATTTAAAGCTTAGTTTTCCAAAAATATCGTCAGTTTGTGTATGTTAGTCCCTACAACATACTTAGTTCTCTTCTTCCTTCCTGTTCCGCCAATTTGCTTATAAATACATTTTGCAGTGACTTTTCGTTCTGAGAAGTTCATTCCAGCCCACAAAAGTCTGGAAGAGAATGTTTATGCTTGGAGTGTTTCGTTCCTGCACCGATAAACAGATGAGCTATAAACGTTCTTCAAAGTACTGCCCTTCGCCACGTCCCATATGATTGGCCAAAATGTTCGTTAAAATTGCTCAAATTGCTAATCAATAACCTGCTAGTTAGTTTTTGTTTAAACTTTGTCGATGTGATTATATGCATGACATCCAAATGAATCAGAACCAGTTGTTTTTGCAGTCCTCTCTAGTCAACCTAGTAATGTTAGAACTATGCCGTAAGCAAAAAATATGAGCCAAAAAAAANAAAAAAAATGAAATAATAAATAGAAGTGGGAATGAAATTACTCCCAAAGGTCAGGGCGTAGCCCAAATTGAAATCGAATGAGCTTCTGAAACTGAGAGAGCAGCACATATCAGTACCAATCATAGCTTATAGTTTTATTTTTTTATTTTTTCCCAGTTCCTGGTCGTACTTGCAAGTTTCCCAGTGAACGCTTAACGGAAAACGAGACGGATGTATGGCCGAAATAATGGCTTAACTGCTGCACGAATGCTTGTCTAATCGAATTTGGGATCGAACCCTGCCCAAGAGATCCTACCGCATCCTTTTGGATCATTTATTTAATGCCCGTACATTGAGTGATCTTCAGGAACCAATCCGTGGGAGCAGCATCCATTTAATCCCCACGTCGCTGTCAACTGAAATTCGAGTGCGTGGCGCATGTAAGAAAGAGATCGAACCAAGTTGATCCCCTTTGTTCGTTACTCTTACAAAAGCTCAAATTTATTATTATTTCTATCGGGTGAATTGATCATCTGAGAGTTCTGGAATCTTATGTGGAACGGGACCAGTCAGCCAGCCAGCTGTGTATCGGATGAGATGTTGTTCTCGTCGCTGCCTCAGCTATTATCGACTGCTGGCGACGCCCTTTTTTGCGCTATACCCTCACATTGGCAACATCTCTTGCACCTGTTGCTAAGTACGTTTTTCCGCGTCGATGAAGACGTCCTTCACAAGAATCAGAGTTCATTCCATTCTGTTTCCTGTGGATCTCCACCTTCATCAGCTGTTTTTGACATGAAGCGTTTTTGTCATCCCTCGAGTGAGCAGCTGGCCAGCGTTTCATTGGTCCTCCACCATTCAGGGAAACTCATTTCGCTACCACTTCAAAGCGGAATTCTCACGAGTGAACGCATGAATTCTCTGTCCATTTCGCTGCAGGGCTCCCTTATGACCATTGTTAGTCTCCAAAAACATAATGCTTCCTATTTGGCAGGCCTGGTTGAGGCGTGAACCTCCGCCATGTCGTGGGTGTCTCGCCTTCTATAAGCCTCTGATTACTCGTAGACTAGATCTCTATATAATTTATTTACCCTTCTTAAATATTCAAATATGCATTCGGCCCATACGCTACCCGATTGACATCTGTCGGAATATTTTTCTTAGTCACCCATCTCAACAAACATTTTAAGTAGGAATGTGTACTGGAAGTCCAAGTACATTTGTGCCCTTAGCCATTCCAACGATTTTCCTTCCCATACTCAATCATATGTCACCCTGTCCCGAATCATTGACACACCTGACAGTGAGGTCACCAGCATGTGGAAGGCTTGGTGGCATTTTTAGAGCCTCCCAGAACTATGGATGCGTCCAAGGCTCTGATTCTTCTAGAACGTCACGCTTAAGTAGTACATAAAATGGTATAAAAGGGATGGTTTTCGCAAACTCTCATACATTTCCACTGCTTTCCAGGATTTTGCTCCTACACCCTTTCCCTCGCATACAAACCCCTCCATCCTGATCATTTATCCCTTACAACCCGCTGAGATAGAGCACAATTGAAATCATGGCTTTTCTTCTCCCCGTCGTGCATTTTTCGGAAGCTCACAAAACCATGTTTGTTCTAGAGGGTGCAGGTAGAATGGGGCAGGAAAATGAAGAGTAACATAGAAGTCTACTGCTTGTTATCCGCCTCGCAATTAAATATTTGCGATCCAGCACAGAACACGACTGCGCTCGTAACCACGTTCGACACTTTCGACTCTTCCCGAAATTTTCGGCTTTTTATTCGATTCGGACTGCACTCAAGGAATGAAGGCAACGAATTTGGTCGTGTGAAAGTGGAAATGACTGTGCGAAAAGGTCTCCCAGTGTTTGGAGAACGAGTGAAACCCTATATCTCAGAAAAAAACGCCTAGACCTTCAGACTTGTCTCTCGAGGCTGCGCGATGAGGAAAGGTGAAGGGCATACGGCTATGGTCTCACGTTTAATATTCTCTGGTATCTCTTTCTTTCTCTCTTCGACATCATTCTTGTTATCAAAGCTTATCACATGTTATCGTATTTATCAGCAAACTTCTAATACCACGTCGACACGCCCAGTTAGAGGCGAAGATATTGGACGCGGCTGTCGTAGGTTCTCGGAGGCTGATCGCTTTGGTTACGAGATTCTCTGCACTCTACAAAAGGCAAATTTCGTCTGCCCCACAGTATGGCACCTCCTGAATTAAACCCTGGAGGTATAATGTTTCGAAGGAAAGCTCTTCAGGGCTTCTTTGGCCCTGCACTACGGCGATGAGAGAAGCATTTAAGAGGGTTTTCATATGATGAACGACATGCTTCCACCAATTCCTTAATTCGTTGC